ATTCTACGGGAACTCGACCATTCCGAAAACCCTGCAAGAACGGGAACTATGGGGAAGAACCCAAAATCTGCCGGAAGTCACTATTCCACGCGGACGAAGTCGCGGCAAAAGCTAGTAAATTATATATATATATATGTAACTGTTAGACCAGCAGCATATATAGATCAATATAAAATATACAATTAACCAATGACTATAGTAACTAATAAAATATTAAGATTTTAATCCCCAGACGGCATCGTTAAATTAAACAAGTAGTATTAACAGATTTTATTGCGAAGATTTATTATGAGTAATGGGAAAGAAGAAACAATACGTATTAACTTTCGCGACGCAAAAATTGTATACATACAGTTCGTAAATATTGCCATTCTGTATGAAAAACTTTGTTGTTCTAATATAATATTACTCCAGGCACGGACATTCTATCTCATCTCCTCGTGACACAACACACAAGCACGTACTTAACTGAGGAACTAGCACGAGCCAACACCGTCAGGGAAGAACCATAACCTGCTGATGAAGTAGAGCCTGTGAGTATCTACTAGTGATTACTCATACTGTTTTGCGATTATATTATAATATATTATCACATTGTTTATATATTTAATGTTTTAGATTGTGGAGAACATGCCGGCTATCCCAGATTACGCTCCCCCATCGGTCATCAACACTCAGCTATCTCTAGATGATCTTGCCCCACCTTCAGTTTTACAACCTGATCAGGTATGTACTATGTTTCATTGGGGAGAAATATAATTTAAATTTAATAAAGAAATAATTTATATTACGTATTTTTTTTAAAGCATGATCAAGAACTCCTGAAAGACGCATATGACCACCCTCTGGCAACACCGAGACACGAAGAACCTCACAACACACTCGGAGACTTTGAACCCTTGCCTCAAGAGCCACCTCCCCAACCAGACTTTGAACAACTGTAATCTTATATATTTAGATAGATCTTCATCAGATAATAGTCTTATGTCAAGTGATACAAATATATTGGTTCTAAATTAATGGAAATGAAATGTATGAAAGATTCCAGCTCACAAAGTAAGCAATATTTAGCTGTGTATGACCTATGTAACATATCTAACTGTAAGAACATTGTCAGTTTTGAATTATTTAAGAAATATTATAAAGGTACTTAATGGGGATCAAAAACGGCAAATAGAGTCATAATAATGGAATTTCAAAAGAGTTTGTATCAACCACTATTGAATTAGATTTTGGCGAGGAAATAGAGTAAAGGATAATTTAGTCAACAACATTAATTAATATTTTATATATTTCTCTCCATTATAGAAATGTATTTACATTTTTAATATAGTAAGTAAAACGTGTTTAGTGATGTTAAGTTATATTAAATAAAAAGTTACATTCATCTTGGCTTTCTTCTAATTTTTATAAAAGTTTGTCACTTTATTGCTAACTCCATAATCTTCTATCTTGTTGTCATCTTTGTCAAGTGTTAAGCTGTCGTAATTTCAACTCTTTCATATATACCTCCAAGATATCTTCATTCTGTTACCCATCCTTTGTTGATATAATTCAAAGTGTTTTTCAATATCTCTCTTTAGTGGCCTCACTGTTGAATTTTGCGGAACCTACACAAACGTACACGATACTCATCGACTCTGTGCCTTGAAAGCTCTAACAGAAACAACTGTACTAAGATCACATAAATTATACAGATTCTTGAGACAATATCCATTGCAGCTGTTGAAAGTTCAATGTATTCTGTAGTAAATAAAAATAATTAATAATTGTTAAAAAAAACACGCTTTTATAGCAGACCGAACTAAAAACTTAAAAATAATTTTTAATAACAAAGAGTTTATATTACCGTAGCAGAAGGTTAAACAATCAATCCTAGTTAATTACTTCAAAATAAAATTATAATAGAATTTAAGTTATGAACAGAATTATTACATTCAGAGTTAGAAGCGTGGGGTGCTTGACATATTAAAGGTAATAAATGCAATCATTCTAGGTATTAGCATCTATGAGTGGAGAGTTATGGAAAAGTAGTAAAATGTTTAAGGTAGCATTGAAAACCAGGAAGTAACGCCGCCACAACTCATAACATCTTACGAGGAGAACATAAAGCCTAGCGGGTGATGTTAGACTAAAGGATGAAATTGAAAGTAAAGCATAATACATATCTGTTTGTAGGTGCTTTTTATTACAGTAAAATCGACTGTGAGAGGTTTTGGGCAATTATGAGTTTATGAACATTTAAAGAAGCATAATTCAATGATACATAATTCTTACCACATCTACATATTTTTGTCATCAGTAAAATGAAAACTGTTTTCTTTATTATAAATTCACTTTATGGTAGATATTTCTTTGAATTAAATCCATTTTCATAACATAGTTTATGATGTATATAAATCCCAGAATCTACATCCAGAGGCTTATTTAAGTGTACCAAGAATATTTATCTTTTGTGAGTTAATAACATGGTCGCGTACAAAAGACGTTGTACATATTACTATTTAGAACATCATGTTGTTAGATATTTCAACATGTCGTAATATTATCCACATACATATATCCTATTATTATCAGTCCAATCTTATATTGTATGAATATATTATTCAATATCACTGAAATATTATAATACTGAAAAATATAAATCGTCATGGGCTATTATCTGTAGGTTGTATAAAAACTGGATCACTTAAAATAAATATTTTATACTAGAAGACCTGGCGAACTTCGTATCGCCCTATAATCAAGAAAAATTACGTTTTTTTATTTATATTTTTGGAGTTTACCTTTAAGCCATAAATCTCCGTGTTCTAAAGTGCGACAGAATGAGTGACATATTAGTTAGTTGTCAAATCTAATGTCAAAAAAAAAACCTTTTGTATGGGAAATAGAAAAGGGCTGTTTTTATGGTTTTCTCAGTAACTTATCAATTTTTTTCAGCTTTTATACCTTCCCTGAACCTCCACGAACATTTCAAGACTAAGATAAGACAAATCCGTTCAGCTGTTCTCGAGTTTTAGCGAGACTAAGGAACAGCAATCCATTTTTATATATATAGAAGATAAAATAAGTTTAACATATATTTCTCGTTTTATATGTATATTGTATATACACAAACACATACATTACATATAAACACACATGTGGATATTGTGTAAATAAGTTCTGTTTGTGTACGTAACGTCATGTAAGATCAATGTACTCTTCTTTAGTAGCATGCTCTTAGCAGATCGTAGTATGCTGCTTTTGCTTTATGAACACCTGGTCCTTCATATTATGAAATAAACGTGATCTCCAAGAATAATTTTGTTCCATACAAAGCCAAGAAAGAAACTCAGAGGAGCTCGTAAAATAATTTTAGTGTGAAGATGGTTCTCCTAATTTAGTTAAGCAGTTTTTTTTGTTTTGTTTTTTACATAAACAGTCATGTGGGATGTACTTACCACATTTTATTTTGAAATTGTTATAAAATAGAAAATCCTATTTTATTAAATAGAAAAAAGGCCGTAATTTGTTGGTTGTTTGTTTATTTTTTGTTTGCTGGTGAAGCAACACTGACACAACTCATAACATCTTACCAGGAGAACATAGAGCCAAACGGGTGACGGCCCGCTGGGGATAGAAATTGATTTGTGTTAGGAATGGTTTTTTTTTTTATATATGCGTGTGCTTGTGGATTAAACCAAAAGTAACAGATTTTCATAAAAAAGCTATTACCAGTCAGCTATTTTCGAGAATATGTAATCTTAAGCTAGAAATATTATTTAAACTTACATCCCTATCTAAGAAATACACGCAACAGAACTTAGAATATCTTATCTATCAAAGTAAATGTGCCAGCATATGTATATCTATGTCACATAGATATACATATGCTGGCACATATGTATAAATTATACATATATATGGATATGTTAAACTACATTTTCTTCTAATATTTTGAAAATGCGAATAGATATATGATATATGAATACATATATGAACAGAACATCAATTAGTAGTTCCTCATATAATTCTATAAACTCTGTTGAAAGCAAATATATATTTAAGCAATAACATTTTAATAAAATCGGTTAATTGTTGTAACTGCATCGATATTTTAATACATAAAATAAACACATTAGATGAGCACAATAAGAAACGAATAGTCCTTGTACCAGCGTTATGGTTCATAGCATGGAGCAGGTCTTGTGTAGGCCATGCATCATCAGAACATATATAACTAGGCCTTGTAATATCAGGACTAGCTGTATTGAGCCGCCGTGGAGTGCTAGTTCTCATGGCGCTCCGGCGACGGCTCCTTTATAATAAAATACACTATTTACTTAAATAGAAACAATATAAAGTAGAACTCATAAGAATTAGTGAATCATTATAACAAAACTACTCAAAACATTGGATTTAATTAAACTCAAACGATCTTACAAACTTAATAGGTAGTATTAAACACGTCAATTTTTTGAATTAAACGTTTTGTGTATTGTGTTAGTACCTGGATCAATCGGGCGACTCGTGAGCGGCGAGCGAGGTGGCTGGGAACAGAGGATACCATCCATACGTGCGCTGCGGCAGGGACAGTTTGTGGAGACACATCTCCGCTCCTCACAGGGCGAGCTTGTGTTCAAATCCTCCGCATCACTACCAGCGTACGACCTAAGGCCTCGCTTGCCTAGTTTTAAAATTGGATAGTTTATTATAAGTCGTTTATCATTCAGAGCTTGGACACTAGAATCAAAGGTATTATATCGGAGACTCACTTCACTTTAGTATCGTAAAGTAGTGCTGAAACCTATTCATATAAACTGTGAATATTATTATTCATACTTTCTTCAAATTGAAATCTACAGCAGAGAAGAACATTTAACAGTGATGTTTTTTCTACAGAGATAAAATTATCTTACCTGTAACCCTAAATAAAGATTTTATATTAAAATATACCTGATATTTAAGCGTTTGTTTGAAATGTGTCTCAGTGGTGCGGCGTATTACTCTTGTCTTACGCTTGTTCAACCACTTGTCATCATCTCGAAGGTAGCATGTCACGTATGAGTCAGGCACTTCGTCATTAACGACGTACACCCGACGAGCATTAGATACCTGTTAGGAAATGTCAGTACAATATATGTTATTTGGAACAAATATTAATGTATCAGTATGGTTTTCAACAAAATATTAGTAACAAATGAATGCAAAGAAAACATTGCTTCATTAATAATTTTATGTATTCGGTTCTTATTATGTTCTGAATGTATTAGAAACTTCAGTCATATTTGGAGTTTTTTTTAGTACATTTGTCTACATGTACAATATATTCGAATAGAAAACGTAAAATTTTAGGTCGTTAATTTTTGTAAGTTATCCATTAAGGATATAAACCTCTAGCTCAAGTTATTTATTTAGACCCAGTTTCACCAATCATTGTTAAGTAAGTTAACATCGTGTTAAGGCGTTTGATACTCTGTATCGAGCGTCCCACCACGCACAAATGTCCGATTAAATGTCTTAACCAGCCACTAATATTAATTCCTGCTCTGAAGCTCCGTCTAATGACTAACAGAATATTAACGGCATTGTCAAAACTCAATTGTCCAATCATCGCCCTGATTTCTTGTAACCATAGTAACATCATCTGTTTTGTCAGTTTCGACTATTTCCTAGTACTTATTAATAAAGTGAATTAAAATTTCATTTCCTATGATGATTTTGCCTCCAGTTTTTTTATAACATTGCAAATTAAATTTTCTTTTTATCTCTTATAATTTGAACAAAATTTATGCCTATATTTATAACAATAATATATACATAATACAATTTATTGACAACCCGATTTTGACAAGTTACACCTAGTAAATTGAAAAGAAAGCTTGTTGTGTGCCAAATGTATGCAACCAACGATATATAAAATTTGGTCGCATTACCTACCAAGTGACGTATCGATGGATATATACGATCAAAGTATAAAGTGGTGCATCGTTATTCGTGGCAAACGTGTTAAACGCTATAGTTTCCATTTCGTCATATAACAAGAACAAATAATTTGGTAGTCGGTCATTTGACATGACTTTAATAATGATTTGTTAATTTATCATCGCGAGACGTAAATATTTTAACAGACATTTATAATTTCGTAGGTTGGTTAGTAAATTCTGTGTTTAGATTAAACAAACATTGATTGGTGAAACTGGGTCTTAATATAGATATGACACTAACAGTGATGGAAGAAGACGGATTCTGGCGAAAGCTTCAGGTTCATCGCCGTAGCCCAGGGTATGATCTCGAGGCGGTAGATCATCAGCTGGGATCAAAACCACGCCGAGTTTGCGGATCTCACTCTCAAACCATACTTGTAGTTGAGCACGCGCCGGTGGACGCTCCCTCACCCGGTCCGCGCTATCTTGTTTAGCAATAGCATTCGGTGTATTTGATGGTTGTTTGATCGGTGAAATAAAGGAATGCGGAAGTATGGAATTATCCACGTTAAATATATCTAATTTGTATGCTGCGCGATCTTTAGCCTGGAGTGGAGATGGAACCAAATTGGCAGTAGCATCGCAAACTGGTGCCGTTTTAGTTTTTGAAGCGGTCCTGAGGTATTATCAAAAGCCATTATTCATTATTATCCACAAAAAAATATTAAGATAAACGGACCGAAAGACCAAAATTAAAAATATATATTGCCCAGATAACCTTACATTTATAACTACATAATATAATAATTTCGTTTTTAATCCAAGGGATACATATCAATTAGTACTTAATTTAATATTATTTTTTTAGACACTTTAAATTCGTAGAGGATAATTGTCAATATTATCATATTACTTTTTCTTAAAAAGTATCAACATAGAGAATGAAAATATTGAATGCAAAGTAGTATGACATTATGACCTTATAACAATCAATTTCTAATATAGTGTATTATCTATGATGACAACTTTGTCAATATTACGTTGAACACCCCAATATTATTATTTCCTACATAAAGCGCTTTAACTAGTTATGTAAAAATTAAAGCATTTTAAAGATCACTTAAAATTATGGTTTAAAAAAAAATAATGTGCATTTCAATTTAAACGTAATAAAATAAAAAATATTATTCGACTTCAAACTTATGATAACTTCCTTTACCCATCTCTTTCGAACATGCCCCTTATACGTATTGCTAACCTATTTGCACATCCAAATTCTAATAGAATTACTCACTAGATGTCGTTATATTACTTCTTACTAGTTAGTACTTTACTTACTAGCATTGCCAAACCTTGCTTTTGTTTTCGCCACAACTCAAAATGTGTACGCTATTTAAGTATGTAATTGTTAATGTATGTTAAATGAGTAAATTAATAATAGTGTTATAGTGCGCAGTGTTTTTTAGGTATAAATTATAAAATATGGAAGTTCTAGCGAAGTGACAATTTCACCACTAATTCGTATGATCGTATCAACTAGCCGCGGTTAGATTTTTTTGTGCGTTTTGTGAACTTTTCTTAAAGAAGAGAGACCCAGTGAGTTTTGTATTCTCCAAATACGAATATCTTTTTTATTAAAAGAAAGCCTACAAAGTATCTTATAAATCTTATGTTTTCTTTTTAAGTGTCTGCCGTTATCAAATACATTCTTTTGTTTACTCAATTTAAATTACACACAGCCCACTTGTTTGTATTTATCGTTTTGAACATATTATTTCGTGACTACATCAACGAAAACAAATTATGTACTGACAAAATGAATAGGTATACTATACTCATTTCGTTAGCAATTTGTTGTCGTTCTTGTAACGTCATTTTTGGTAATTTTTACATGTTAATTGTTTTAAATTACATTGGTTACAGAGGAATTACAACGTACTTAATATAAATTGACGTAATTTGCGAAGTATCTATAGTAATTTATATTTGTATATTAGCGCCCGAATATTGTTTTAAAAAGTCTTAAAATTTTTATACGGTAATTAATGTGAATTCAAAATTAGTCTCATTTTTTTTCGTAAATTCGCATAATCGATGTTAAAAAGGCAAATTCGTTAAAAAAAAAATGTGCGCTGTATTTTTTTCAAAAATACTCCTTTTAAAATTTAGAATTATTCTATTTGAATTCATTTATTTTGCAACGTAACAACTAAGTTTGTTATAATTTTCATGTGTCTCATTATTACTATGGCGGATATATGTTTTTCACCTATTATATAATTGCTATTTCTTAATTTATCTGTAAGAACACCACGTTGTCAACACATATAACGGGATTCGGGAATAATTAAAATTGGACAACTATAGAATTCGCATTAATTATCGTAATAAAATATAGTAAGGTTATAATATGTAGTTATTTCGCAACTGTCATGAATAAAAAACTTAAAAAAGTTACTAGCAACCTACATCCGATATAATTTTAATCAGGTGAAGCAAAAAAGCATAACAAAACAGTGGTGTACACAACCAAGATGTATATTCAGTAAACACTAAATAAAGGCAATTTGAGTCACTATTCACGTTGATAGGTCTTTTATAAAACCTATTTGTTGCGTTTATTGTCGTGGCCAAAATAAGCATGATTTAAACTGATGCTTGTTTTTAATTATTAATGGTTCTTTGTGTAGTATTATTTATATAAAGTTACTTGTTTTTCTTGTTTGAGATGTTTTTATTTTATAGTAAAACAATGAATGCTTTTTATTTTATAAATATTTTAACCAACGTCGACTGTTACAGGTAACGATTGGTACGCTGCCTGTCGTACTAGTAATAGTCTGATCCTGTGCGATATAGCTCGTGGTCTAACTAGCGAAGTGAGTTATATTTTCTATCGAACTTCTATATACGTAGTATTAAAAGTTTATAGTCATGAATACTCCAGATACCATGGTGGGTGGAGCCTGTCTGTTGCAGCGTGCTGGCGAACTTAGTGTGGTGGAGTACGGCCTCGATAGAGTACTGCAAACGGTGAGTAATTTAATTTATACTAAAATGTTTCGTATCTTATGGAAGTTCGTACTGAGCGTGTGAATCCTCACGTGCTCAATGAGGGCTGGACAGACAGACGATTGCTGTTATTGATCTTGTTACAGGTCCGGAACATACATAGGATAGATGTTAGAGTTCCTTTGTTATGAAAAAAAAGATTGATATCAATGATGTAAATGTTGTAGAAGTTCAGTTAGATTGGTTGGAGCTGAATGAGAGCGGACATCTGCTTCTGTTCCGTCATACTAGACGACGACTTGCACTTCTCCGTATTGATACCGGTGAAAAGGTAGCACGTTCATATATATAGCGTAAACGACATAGCTGGATAAATTGAGTCAAAAAATATGATATTTCATTGTCTGGTATTTCATTTTTTTAGGAAATTATCGCGAGCGGAGTCAGTATCGTGCAATGGATAGAAAACAGTGACGCTGTTGTAGCCGGAACCCCAACACATTTCCTGATTTGGTAAGATTTAATAATATATTTTTTAATTCTACTGGATAGTGCTCGACTGTTGGAAGATGGAAATGAAGTGTTAGATACTGAACGCACTATCTCAGTATCATCCTATTCACGCCTTTTCTTGAAGCTACCCAAATTATAACGTCATGTTGAAATATATTTTTCATTATTAATTGTGGGACTGTGATGTGAAGATTAATGATTGTATTAGCACTTTTGAAAACATACTCCATGTAGATAAAAGTAACTTATTATGTGTACAACATTTATTTGAATATTATAAATCTTCTCTAACTTAAAATAATGTATCGTTGGCAATGTTTAAATGGTCAATATTAATTTAATATTTTGGGAGAGAACATATCAAAATGGTCCTGTAAATTAATCCTAGTTTTTCCTCATTATGTCTATATATTACATATACATGGATCATAAGGTTGTTCCTACATATATATGTGTGTTTGTATGTGTTGTAGGTACATTGTATGGGCTGTATCAGTATCAGAGCGACGAGTCCTACTGGAAGGAGGTCAGATCCAGGCCATTGTATTGGATGAACATCGACTGGCGTTAGTAAGATGGCTTTAAAGTATTGACATTATTGTTATATTAATGAGATCTAAGACTTCCTCGACTATTCATTTAAATGAAACACATCTGGTCTGC